AAAGACATTATATAACGGAATCATAAATACTTTGAAAGAATTAGGCAAAGTAGAGAACTTATATGAAAGAACACACATTTCCTAGAGAATTAAACAAGAAAGGAATACAGAATTAGACAGAAAATCAACATGAAAAAATAATCATATTATATACGCAAATAAGATATAAAGAGGCCAAAACACTTTGTTATAACATAATATAAATAGTACAAATAAAACATTATAAAATAATAATAATCCAGTAAAATATCAATTACTAAAAGCATATTTAGAATAAGAGAGAGTAGGAAACTTATTTCTGGCCTCTTGGAGAGTAAGGAGACTCAAGACAATTGTCATGTTGAATAACATTTATCAAGTCTTTCATTGACATGTTGCTTATAAATTCAATATATATATATATATATATATATATATATATATATATATTTATATTTATTATTTATATATAATGATATAGTATATTGGATAGACAAAGGAAGAAAGATTAGAAAAGAAACAAAGAGGAACATGTAAAACATATATTGTTTTTATTAGACTACTATTCTATTTATAGGCTACAACACACCTATTAATGAAATGATAGGTCTGTTGAACTATAAAAAGTTTTTACCATTAACTTTCTTCATATCTATTTATATTTATTTTTTTTCCTAAATAACCATTCATATATCTTTCACAGAGTGAGTCACTATACAAAGAGTAAATTAGGGAATTGAAATATTTCATGTATTTTTTTTATAAATATATATATATATATATATATATATATATATATATAAATAGAGAAATAATATATTTTAACTGGATAGAAAGAGAGAGAGTGTGTGTGTGTTTTTTTCGCTTTACAAACATATGCTAGAAGTTAAGGTAACTTTTAAAAAAAATTATTTTTCATATTAAAAATCTATCTAAAGGTGTGAAAGTGTATTGGTATGAATTATTATTTTTTATTAAAAGAAAATAAATAGGGAGGTGATATTTTTTAATTGCACGGAAACTCTTTAATCATGAAAAAAAAAGTGTTTAATATGAATAAGTGTATGAATTTAAAAGAAACTCTTTTATAAAAGAAGACCACTTGAATTCGACAGAGCTTCACTGTTATGTTGGAATCCCCTTTTCCTTCCGCCTTCACTTCTATTAATTGACTTCATAAAGGGACAATATAGTAATTTGAGGCACTTTAGATAATTGTCACAATTATAATTTGGATAATTATCATGATAATTATCCTCAAATATATATTTTTATTTTTTATTTTTTTATTTTTTTATTTTTTAATTTTTAACTGAAAGTTGATGCTTGATATAAGATAATAATAAATTAAATGGATTTCTTTAATCTCATATTACATTGATTTATTAAAATTGCTAAAAAATAAAAAAATGATGCACTACTGCAACAGTGCAACTTACTATTACCATTTAACAAAAGCTGATAGTTTTTATTTTATATCTAAACATAATTTTTTATTTATTTTACGTGCAGCAAGTAGGGTATATTTGTTTCTTTTAGTTTTATTTATTACTCCGTAATTTATTTTTTCTATGTCTTACATAATAGAATTACCTTTGAAATTGAAAGTTAAATTTATTGGTACTGTTGTTTCTGAAGGTGATTTACGAGATTATAACAACTCTGCTTGTTCCAATATATGCGCAAGATTGAGGTACTCTCCAACCTTGATAATTTATTGATAGAGCAATCAAAGCTAGAACAATGAGAATCAACACCGATCACTGAATCAGCACCCATCTCCCTCGATAATTTGTTGATAGAGAAATCAAACCATAAAAGAATGAGAGTCAACACCCATCTCACTGAATCAAACACTCATTTCACTGAGAAGTTTAATTCTACAACATGTTTGGAATTCGATAACCGTAAATGTAATTGAGCAATTTTAAAAATTAAAATTTTATTTAATAATAATAATTTAGGTCTGTAAATTGCCTAAATGTTCGGAAGTTTTAAACATTGCCATTGGTGTGAATCTTCGATTTCTGTCTCCAATCAAACTTCAACCTCCACATGGGATTCAATTGAAAGCAGCCCACTGATTGAAACCGTATACATGCTATTTGTCACACTTAATTAATTTTTTATCCAGATTGTATTATCTATTTTATTAGAATTCAATATATAAATTTTTTATTATTAAGCAAATTTTAAAATTAAATAAATAATATTGATAAGAATTGTTACAAAATGTTAAGTTTCTGAAAAAAAAAAAAAAAAAAAAAACCTGGGTAATCATAACATCAAGCAAAATATTCTAGACCTGTACCTCTTATTCTTCAAGCTGCTGCCGAGAGGTTCTGCCGTCTGAGAAAGCTCTGAAGTTTTGAATTAGCCGAACCACTATGCCTAATGTTATAAAAAAAATATATTAAATTGGTTTTAAAATTGAGTTGACATAAGTACCAAGATAAAAAGTCAGAATATTTTTTGAAAATAATTGTGAAGTTGAGAGTGCTTTTGAGGAGATTTGAGAGAGGTGAGAGACTTGTTTGTAGGGGTCACGGATCCTCTACATAAGCCATCTCTCTTCTCCTCTCGTCAAACTAAATCTAAAAGTTGATATTGAGAGTCGTGTTCACTTACCTATACCACACTGTTTTGACACCAAACAAACAAAACAAACTTTCTGTGCTTCTTTTCTGTCCTCCTCCTCCTCCTCCTCCTCTTGGATTTTGTTGGCCTCTTTGGCCTGGCCCACTCTACAGTTTCCACTTTTATACATTGTTTAACAATCATTCATTTCTTGAGAGAAAAAAAGAAAAAGACAAGAACTGCTTTAAAAATCTTTTAGGTAAAAGTGCAAAAAACCCCTTGAACTATTCACTTTGTTGCAAATTTTCCTTTGAAGTACTAAAGTGTGCAAATACCCCCTGGGGGTCACCGGATCAAAATTTCCGACGCGTGCAAAGTCACGCGCCTATTGAAATGATGGAAATGCCGAAACTACCCTTCTTTGTTGTCAAATGACCAAAAAACCCTTGCTCCCTCAATGTCGTACCAATAAGGTGACTTAGAGCCTCTGGAGTTAGTGATCATGAAAATTGAAGTAGTGAGAGAGAAGCAAAACGCGGCAAGTCGGAACACGAGAATCAGTGTGTTGAATCACTGGAGCTTCTACATGGAAACGGTGGATTGGTAGTGAGGAGGCATCTGGATTCGAGGGTGATGCGAGGGAGCGTCGTTGCTGCCGTTGCGGAGCCACCGTGGGGACCGCATATCTTCGCGGCCGGCGTTATAAAGAGAGAAAACAATGATTGGGAGGAGGAGAGAGAGAGAGTGAGAAGTCATGAGAGAATGAAGTAACCTGGAAAAGTTCAGATTTTTATTCTGGAAAAATTGATTCTATGGTGGTGATGAGTTTGGATTGGGACTTTGGAGTCACGAGACATGGAAAGACTTCCATGAGATAGAGAAATATATATATATATATATATATATATATATATATATATATATATCTCACTCTAAAATCTCACTCCCCATGTGTAACCATCCATTCTTTTTCACTTTTTCCTATGCTTTTTGATTGTTATTTGTTATCCCAAGTTCGTTAATGGACAGCACAGTTCTCCCTTTTGATTTGTTCTATTATACAGAGCAATTTCCTTTTCTTGTGATTTTTTATCTTCATCTCCCTTTTGATTTGCTCTATTATATTGATCAGTTGGATTTGATTGCAAATCAGGGCTTGATTTAGATGAATTAAAATGGGAAAAATTGATATTGTGAAATAGGGATTGAATTGGGTTAATGGGATGGGAAATGTTACATCAGATCTTGTGCAGTTGTGCTTGGCCAAGGATCGACATATCTGAAATTACCCATCATCGATTGCTTTGTCATCGGCAACCATGGTGGCAAAATAATGGAATAATACCCCATCTTAGCAGACCAAAAATCAGAGCCACACTCTCTCCACCCTCCTCTATGACCTCGTCCTTCGTATGTTACTAGAGGATTTTCGTATGGGTTTATGGGTATGAGAGAAGAGAAGAGAGTGAGAGAGATGCTGTAGAGAGATAATGTGAGAGAAAAATCATTTTGCCTTAACGAAGTTCTTATCAACTTCAAATTTAGAGATGTTGTGTTTCTTTGGGGTTCCTCTTGGTTCAATTGGTTTGTGTGTGTGTGTGTGTGTGTGTGTGTGTGTATCACCACTACCACCACTTCTACCACCATCATCACCACCCAATCTGACCCACAACAAAGCCAATCACACCCATGACGAACCCAATTGAATCAAGAGGAACCCCAAGTCAAACCCGGAAGCTTCGTGCTCACTGTCCATGGCTATCTTCGGTTTCAATCGCAACAACCCATCAAAGACTGATTGAAGGAAATTCTGACAACGGCTTAAATCAAAGACCGATGGAAGGATGTAATCATTAGCGGCGGCGATAACTTGAGCACTGTAGAGCTGGAATTGGTATTAAGCATCGGCGATGAATGAGGTGGCGGTGAAAGCGCGACCTTGTGTGTGTGGATATATGTATGATGCATCTGTATATATATATATATATATATATATATATATATATATATATATATATATATAAGAAAAGAAAAAATTAGGGTTTTTTATTTTTATTTTTTTATAACTTAATAAGTAAGGTTATTAAGGTCATTTCAAATTAACATACGCAGGAAAAGTTGATCTGGTGACTCCCAGGGGGGTATTTGCACACTTTGGTACTTTAGGGAGGGGGGGGGGGGGGGGGGTGGATTTGAAACAAAATGGATAGTTCAGGGTTTTTTTTGCACTTTTGCCAATTTTTTATCAATCATAATTCTGCTCCAATGGGAGTCTTCCATGTAGTACCAAAATTATTGAAAAAAAAAATAAAAAGAAAAGCATGCTTTTGAAAAGAAAGGCATGTATAGACTTTAAAAAAATCTTTTATAATTCTGTGCAGCAATGGAGTAAGCAAAAAGTAAAACTCTGAGATAAAGTTGATTCACTGAAGCTAAAATATTCATGAATTGGGTGAACATCTAATTCAATTCAATTGAGAAGCAGCAAAGTCAGTCCATCAATGGTGGACAAAGCTTCTTCTTCGTCTTCCTTGTTTTTGTGGTCCAAATCGGCTTGGGTCAAAGCCCAAACAACTTGTGATCACCTGGCTTCTTTGTCTTCTGATCTCACCCATTTTTTTACCTTAGACACTCCCTGCAACAGGTCCATGAGAAGATCTGTCATCTTCTCACAAACCCTACTTTTTCATTTTTTAATATTCTTCTTATGGCTCTGAAAATATTTTAATTTTACATTAACCTAGCTAAATGATACGGATGGGTTTTAACTTTTAACCTCCTTTTGTATTAAAATTATTTTTTTGGGGGAAAAAAAAATCATCATAACAAACTAAATTTAGTATTATTATAAATTATTGGCTTGAGTTGTATCCATCTTCTTTTGGAACTAAAAAAAAAAAAAAAAAAAAAAAAAAAAAAAACACAAAATGGGTAAGAAAACAGAAGGGCAATGGTTTTTTGGTAACCAACTGTTATAGAATGCAACACTTGTGTACCGTGTAATTAAGAAAATGCCTATCCACCAACATTACTGATCCACTTGAGCAGCCAATAATATGCAAATTATATATATTATTTTCAATTATTTGCTACGGTCTCACCAAATCTAATTGAACTGTTTTGAACTTTTTTGCTGAATTTTATCTGATTATGAATTTCTGTAATTTTTTCATATATGGGTTAAATTATATTCAGGAAGTGACAAATTTGTAAGTAACAATGTCAACTGAGTTGCTAGTTCAAAAGAAGAAGTTGGGGGAGAGAGAGTGTGTGCATCCTTTAAACTGCTGATTCAGGTCTTAGTTAAAGCATAAACTTCCATATTTGAAGATGAGTTTCATACATTGTATTCTTCATAAGGTGCAAGGATCATACATGCCATAGAGGACATTAAAGTTTAATCATCCCTTAAGCATTTTTCATTTTGTTAGCTTAAGTTTTACTCATCAATTTTTTTTTTTAGCTTAAGTTTCCGCCACCAAGCAGTACTGGTCCCTAATAGTTTACTTCAAAGTTATGAAATTATTGAAATCTTATTGAATTTTCTTTATAACTTATAATACTTCCTATGTTTCATGCACCCAGGTACATGTGTTAGGTACGAGTATGCATTTTATTTTTTTAATTTTATTAAATTCCCAAACGGATATAATGTTTTACTTTGTTAGAGTAAAATAATGTTTTCACTCATTTTGAAGCAAATGAACATAATAAAAGAGTTTTATGAATAGTTTTATAATAAGTTTGAATTATTTTATCAATTCCCCAAACCTATATAATTTATTTATTTATTTATTTTTATTTATTTTTCCTTTTTAGAGTAAAATAGTGTTTTCACTCATTTTGAAGCAAATGAACATAATAAACTAGTTTTATGAATAATTTTATAATAATTTTTAACTATTTGATATGATTGTTTAATTTGTTTGAAATATCTGAACTTATTTATTTCTTTTATTTATTAGTGATAGCTATTTTATTTTCCCATAGTATTCATACAAGAATACTAAAGGGATGCAACCTACTTACACACATTGTATATAGAGTCAAATTATTTTTATATTTTTCCAAAATTTCAAGCAAAAATACACGCCCACAATATATGTTATGCCTTCAGCGAGGCTCAAACACTCAGTCTTCCCATCTGGCTCTTTATATAGAGTCAAAATTTCACACACTCTTTATATAGACAAATTCAAATCATCAACAAATTTATATTAGCTCGAGGAAGGATTCACCCTCTTTGTCATCAAACCAAATAGAACATCCAAATCCGTAATCTTAAATTTATGAACTTGATTCTCTACTCCCTCGAAAGAATGCTGGTTCATGTATATGTTATGATTTGGCTTGACCCTGGTTGTACGCCTTGAACCTAAAATTTTCAAGTATCCTTGAAAGTAAAAGAAATATTTCGAAGGCAAATTAATTGAATCATGTACCAAAGCATTATTGGTTGCAGGTGAAATTGACTGTTACTGCCTCTTATAGAAAAAGGTTTGTTTGAAAATAGTTTGATTTATACCATTGATATCCACCAAGATATTCCAGCCAACCTATCTGTGTTGGGGCTTGATATCCTCTTTTAGTATTCACGGTTAAACTTTTAACAGGAAAATGCATTTCCTAACCTATTCTACTACTTACTGAAGGTGCCACCAACCCGATGATAATTGGTTATGTTTATGCTGTAAGGATGTTCTTTGCAGCCGTTACGTGAACAAGCATATGCTCGATCAATTTCAGCAGAGCAAACATTGTGTGGCACTAGGCTACAGGTATGTATTAAGATATATTTATATTTTAAATAGAATTCCTTCTGTATTCTCATTCTTCTTTTATTGGACAATATATTTCAGATTTCTCATTTTCTATTTGTTTACTTTTGGAAGCAGTGATCTGTCAGTTTGGTGTCACTTGTGTAATGCATATTTAGATGCTCAAGTGATTTTGCCACTGCATCCTGTTTATGAAACTGTTTACAGACTGAAATTTGGTGAAGCACGTGAAGCCCCACCATCTCAGGCAATTGAATATTTGCAGATAGAGGATAAGAAAGCTGAGGTCTCAACTTCAGGCAGTTAAGTTCATCTAATGAAAACTTTAGGCAATTAAGTTATTATCTGCCCTTTGTGCCTACATCTGTATTTCCATTTGAAGTTTGAGGTTGCTATGCAGCCTATGCTATTTATTCAGAACTTCAAAATTGGATGAGGTTAATTTCAGTATATTTGTCCTGACTCCTGCCTCATCAAGATTAATTTTTGTTTACCTGTTGAGTTTAGGCATGCATTTGTGTAGTTAAAACTGTTTTTGAAGAAAATTTTCAGCGATGAAGTCCTTGTTGCTCTGAAATTCATGCCAGGAAAGAGAGTAATTTTTTTAAGTGTTTACAATTTGCTTGTACTGGTGGTTTCCTAGTGATAGAAATTTTTCCATAAACAAAGCATGGTTCATCCTAATTTTTAGAAGAAAAATGGGTAAATTACATTGACCTCCCCTGAGGTTAGGAGCATGTGTTCAACAACCCCCTGCTGTTGTTTGTCTCCGTTTATGAAATTTTAGAAAATGACTTGGTTGCCCTTGTCCTATGTTAGAAGCCTTCAATAGCCTTCTCTTTTGACATAAAATAACGAAAATACTACGAAAAATTACACTTACCTCCCTTGTAAGTTGTCTAAATATCAGGAAACTCTACTCTAAATATAACACTAATCTTCCCTCTAGTTTAGGTTTGAGTAACACTAACCTCCTCTGTTGTAAAATATGACAATCTTGGCAAGCTCAATATTTACTTAAAACCCGAGAATGCACTTAGAAATTTTACATTAAAAAACAATAAAAGTATAATGGATATAATAGTTGTTTAACACTATCAGGTCGAAGTCAACACTGATAAGAGAGGTTAGTGTTATATTTGAAACTATAGGTGAGGTCCCGGTTATTTAGCCAATCTACAGGGGAGATAAGTGTTTCAATTTTACACTATGGAACACATTCTCTCAATCTCTTTAGATGTCTTGGACACATGGTCCCTTCACATGTCTTTCAACAGTGGATATGCCAAATAAGATATGGTCTTAGATATTAAGTCCCTTCACATGTCTTTCGACAGTGGATCTGCCAAATTAGATTTGGTCTTTACACAGTAAACTTTGATAATCCAATATCCAGGATCTCTTCTAGATGATTGTGCTTCAACTGCACATGTATGGATTTTTCATTTTAACATTCGTTGTGAGCTTGAAGCATCGCAACTTTATTGTCACGAAAATATTTCAAGGGCGGTATAGGTTTACTTCATATTGGAATATCATCCAGTAAGATACTTACCCTGTCAACTTATTCTCCAGCAGAGAAAGTGCAATACAACTCATATTCCATCGAGAAATGAGTTATACTAGTCCACCCTTTTAATTTTTAAGAAATCACAACTCCACCCAAGGTAAAGATCCAAGTTGGTACGAACATTAACCATGCATAGCAAAAAATAACTATGTATTTGCAGTAATACGATCCATGATCCATAATACTCTGCAAGTACCTTAATATTCTCGCAAGAGAAATCCAGTGATCACTTCCCAGATTATTTCTGTACTTAATAACAAGTTATGTTTGCATTAGTGCAGTTTATCGCGTCAGAAAGACTACCAATAATCTGAGAATTCAAGTTGATTCATTGCATTGCCTTGATTGCAAACTAGCTCCCATTTGGGATCAATAAGAACAAAGACTGCAATATCTGATAAGTTGTTGAACCTTTCAAGATTAACTGATAATTTTATATTGTGTGAGAGTAAATCCATGTTAAGGCCCCACACTTTTATTTACACAATCACACCGGCCTCCCTAAGATCCTTCATTCCAAAATTGAAGCCAAAAACTTCAAAAAGTATATCCTCAATGTAGAGGAAAATAATCATACCAGAGTTTCCTTGAAATCTCCTTTTATCAATCTGAAATTCAACTGCAATCATTGCTTTCCCAAAATTTCATTCCTCTGTTTAGGAGCTTTCAAAAAATGAGCTTTCAAGGATAAAAATTAGTATTATTAATAAAAATAATAAGAAAGCAATTTTCCATTCATGTTATATAGTGTTGTATGAGTTGTCATACGTGTACAGTTAGTATTGTATAAGTTGCCACCTACCTCTCATTACCATATATAGAATTACCATGTATAGATAAAGTACTTCTTGTTCTCCACTCACCTATTCCCGTAACTTCTCCTATATAAATTCCATTGTATTATTATATTACTTACTCAATAACATATGTGTTTTCATATATTCTCTCTCTCTCTCTCTCTCTCTCTCTCTCTTTCAACATGGTATTAGAGCGGAAATCGATCCCTCTTTAATTTTTAAGTTTTTTTTAGTCTTATTCAGACTCTGATCTTGATTCCATCTTGGATTTCTCTCAATCTCTTCTTTGCTATCTCTCCTCTGTGATCTTAGTTATCGTCTCAGCAATCTCTCTTGGATCCCTCCTCAGCTCTCTCCATGATAATTTCTCAAAGGTTCATCTCGGCTAGATCTTGGTTCTCTTATCTCGGCTCCCTCTCGTTACTATATCTCATTTGTTCGGCAGCTCTTGTGATGGATACTAAGGAATCCCATCTTCTTGGGTTAATCACCAACACCAAACTGGTAAAGCGTGAGCGTGCAAATCAGCCCCCCTCCACCGTTACTATTGTTACTTTAGGTAATATGTGTCTCCATGCTTCATCGTCTACACCTTGGATTATTGATTCAGGGGCATTCGATCATATGATAGGTAACCCATCTCTTCTTTCTGATATTTCTCATGTTTTGTCACCATTGGTTTTTACCATAGTGAATGGTGCCAAATCACCTATTCATGGAATTGGTACCTTCCGCACTTCAGGTCTTTCTTTTTCATCAGTTTTATATATCCCTCAATTTTCATTCAATTTATTGTTAGTTCACAAAATCATATCAGATTTAAATTGCTCAGTTACTTTTTCTCCTTCCCATTGTATCTTTCAGGATCTCAAGACGAATAAGACAATTGGTGGGGGGTTTGAGAAGGATGGTCTTTACTACTTCCAGCCAACTATTGCTCCAACAGCTCTACATTCCACCCCATCTTCAGTTTACTAGTGGCATTACTGTCTTGGACATCCCTCTTTAAATAGTCTTCGAGCCTTGGTCCCTTCTTTAGTTGATTTTTCTAAGTTTAATTGTATTACTTGCGAACTTAGTAAACATCATCGGGCTACTTTTAAGTCTCGTTTTGATAAAAGTTTAAAACCTTTTGAGTTAGTACATTTGGATGTTTGGGGACTAGTTTGAACTACTGGTTTATTTGGTGCTCATTATTTTGTGTCATTTATTGATGATTATTCACGTTAAACTTGGGCTTATATTCTTAAAGATAAATCTTAAGTATTCTCTGTTCTTCAATCCTTTTATGCTGAAATTCAAGACCAGTTTGATGCAAAATTACTTGTTCTTAGAACTAACAATGCCCTTTAATATAAACTTAATGTTTTTCAAAACTTTCTTGAGTCGAGGGGCATTATCCATTAAACATCTTATGTTGATACCCCTCAACAAAATAGAGTTGTTGAACGGAAGAATGGCCCACTCAGAGCTATGACTCATGCCTTAATAATTCAAATGCATGTTCCAAAACTTTTTTGGGCAGATGTAGTTCTGGTTGCTGCTTATGTTTTAAACCGTATGCCTTCTTTGGTCCTTTAAGGAAAATCACCCTTCCGAATGATGTTTTTTTGACAAAAATCCTTTTTCCATTCCTCCAAAGGTATTTGGGTGTGTCTGTTTTGTTCATAATCTAAGCCGGGGACAAGACAAACTTGATCCTCATGCTCACAAATGTATTTTCTTAGGTTATTCTCGCACTAAAAAGGGATATAAATGTTACAGTCCAACTCTTCATAAACAATTTGTGTGTGCAAATTTAACTTTCTTTGAGGATCTTCCTTATTATTCTTAGGAAGGTTGTCGTCTGGAGGACTCGGTTCTTCAAGAGTTTGTTCTTCCAACTCCAATTTTTGATTCTGACATCCCACCAGTTCTTCGTGTCTATGCTCGTCGCTGGAAAATAGTAGTTAATTATGTCCCAATTACTAAAGTAATAAACCCAGCCTCGCCACTTCCACCAGTCACTTCAATGCCTGAAGATTCTTCCATATCTCCGGACTCTGATCTTGATTAACCTATTGCTGTTCGGAAAGGTAAACGGTCTTGTGCCAATCACCCTATCTCTAATTTTGTATCATATAATAAATTGTCCTCCTCCTTTCAAGCTTTTTCTTTGTTATTGTCCTTTATTGCTCTTCCTAAGTCCTACAGGGAGACACTTTCTCATCAAGGGTAGAGGAAAGCTGTAATACTCCTAAATTTAAAAAGGATAGTTTCGATATTTTAATTATTGTTTTCTTGCATTTTTAGTTAATTATTTGATTTTTGGTTAGTTGCCTATTTTGCTTAATTGTTAATTGGTTATTTTACTTGTATTATTTGAATTAATTGTTATTTATTTGAATTAATTGTTTAAGTATTTAGTTATTTTTAATTAATTGGTTAATTATTTTTATTGTTGTCTGATTAATTTGTTTTAATTATATGTTTGTTTAAGTGGACTTATTTGGTTTAAAATTATATGTCGTATAGGTTAGGGTTTTTCTTTTATGAAATTGTGGTTAGGCGACTTAGTTTCCGTCTCTTAATACACTTCAACTTAGGTTTAAGTGTGGCCTATAAATATATGTATTAAGTTCTGCCTAGGGTTTTGGAACCATATTCATGACAGTAGAGGCAGAGAGAGAACAGAGGAGGGTTTACAGTAGTCGGATTTCGCCGGAGAATTTAAGAAGACGACAGTGCAAGGTTTCAGACTGAGACCTAAAGGCAAGTTCTATTCCTAACTATTTCCCTTTGGCTCGTGTTCTTTACATGTTTAATACAATTCCAGGAATAAATAAAGATTAAAATTAATCTGGTTTTCATGTCTGAGATGCTCCTATTACAGGACGTGTTCACAAATTGTTTATTACTTGTTTTAAATTCTTTCTTGCGTAACTCATAATTTAATTCATGTCAGTTGATGTATAAAGAAGGGAAATACTAAAATTAATTTGGTTTGCATGGTTGAGTTGCTTTAAACTGTAGGTGTTCAGGAATG